ATTCCGTATGGTTCAGTCTTCTTTATCCCAGGTGGATGATGCATGGATCACTAATGGTAAAAGGACAGTTCTCTGTAATTATTTTAATTAGTATGTGGAAAATAATTAGTAATTGTTGTCCTTCTCCTGTATATTCAACCTTAACCATGACTTATTGTACTAAGAGTAGTTTTATATAAGCAGCGATACATACAGCAGGGGAAGGTTTGTCACTTATCAAAGCTCAGCACTTGCATAGACACCAGCTGTTATACCAAGTTTAAAGATTACCCTGTCTGTGACCTTGACTTTATCTATAGATCCTTTATATTTACACTGTGCATTTTTAATAACTTGAATGGGTTACAGTTCTTGAACAATGGAAATAATTTATTGTCCAGTGTTTTGGGGAAAATTAATCTCATACCTCTCACGTAAGCAAAATGGTTTTGGATATCAACATTATCAAACCCCTGCAGTTACTATCAGGTCCACAACGTTCCCCACAAATGTTAAGACTTTGGTGACCTTCATACTACTGAATGTCTGAAAAGGAGCAAAAGAACGACTTTTCACAGATGATGTAACTTTTGCGTCCACATGGCTTTTTTTGCCAGTGGCTAGTAAAATAATTTAAAATGCTGTCGGATGTTATTGCCTGACATTGTCAGAAGATAATGGATAATTACCTGAAGTACAGTAAAGAGATGCATTACCTTTTTTGTCCAGAGGGGTCCTTTCTGGGCCCATTTAAAACGATGGATTAAGACAGATGCATAAGGTCATTTTAAATCTCTCTTCTGCAATATCGCTTAATATACACATCTTCCTCTCTTCACACGCCATGGCTTGTACGGTTTGGCTCTGACTTAATGGGATTTGTCTTCAGGGATGTGGTGCGTTATTAAATGCTGTCTTTGAATTATAATTCTAGTACTTTCAGATTTTTTTCAATTGGTTCTATATGTCTTCATAACACTCATGTTACTTATTTAGTGCTTTGCATTCCAAAAATTCAAATGGACATCTATTATTTAGAAATTGATTTCCTTAAAAACAACAGTGTGCATAAGCTTGACTACATTTTTTATATTAGAGGGATATTGTTATGCACAGATTTTGCTATTGCATTTTAACACCTGTAATTGAAGACACATTTTTTTTTTCAATCTTTATACCAGTATTCCCAGAAAACTGGTCTTTAAAAGTGTATGTAATAAGGGAAATTACCCAGTAATTACTGAAGATTGTAAAGAGCTGTAGAAAGCACAATTCATAATTGTGAGTGTAACACATCCATGATGAAACTATCATCAGATTTCTCTGGTCTTTTAAAGACGGAATTCCAACACAACTCGGCATCCCCTCATGTTCTCACTGTATTGAAATACATGGTGAGATAACAGGTCTTGCTGTCCCCTGCAAGAAGAATCTGTCACCAGTCTTCCAAGATTCTGTCAGGTATGTAAGGGGGTTTTTAAATGATAATGTTGCAAGATACTGTATAGAGATCTTCTACAGAGCTATTATTTTTAGGAATGATTTATAAAAACCCTGTCTGAATGATACCAACACTTGGTAGACCTGAGGAAAATACCTCTCCTTGTAATAACAGCTGTTAACCCTTTATGAACAGACTTTTGTTCTGTTCAGAAATCCTTGCTTTCAAACATGTAAAGGTCCAAGGAGCGTTTAACTGGCTGTCCTATAATATAGAACAAGGAGAGTCACCTCCCTGAGTATGTGCTGCCTTAGGACAATTAGCTCTGTAAGAGTTAGAATAAATGCCCATCCTGCTGATAGTGGGCGTAAGAACTGAGGACTCCCAGGCCTAATTTGTCTTAAGGTGCGAAACATGTGTTTCACCATAGAAACAGCATTTTTATGTCTTTGTAAGCTAAGCTGTACCAATTTGAATTTTTTAATTTTCAAAAGGAGAAATAGCACCTGGCAGTTTTTTGTTTTTTCAAGCTGGATGTTTTTGTTCCTTTCATTGCAGATGAAATTGTACAGAAATTTTTAAAGTATGATTGAAGATTGAATAGTGTTCAGAGCTCAGCACACAACACACCGGACAAGGGATTTGCTTGAAAGGGGAAAGGGATGGGAAATAGACTTTATTGGAGAGCTAATCAGTGTGAAATAGGATTTAGGCAGTTCAGATTTAATTAACCTTTGTGGAATTCGCCCAGACATGGGGGTTTTCTCCCCTCCTCAAGAAGGACATGCAGGGAATCGCTCCTGGCAGTTCTGCCAGGATCTGGGTTGGAGTCTCACTGTGGCGTGCTGTATTGAAGTGCTGCGGTGCCTGGTCCAGACACAGCCCTGCCCCGATGGGAGCAAGAGGTTTGTTCACACTCCACAGTCTCTCAGAGCAGGTGCCAGCCAAGGTGCCAATTAGTGTAAGAGCCATGTGACGAGGCCACTTGTCTGGACTCAGGACTAAGACTGCTGCAGATCATCTCAGCCTGCCATCAGACAGAGATAATGCCTGTCAGTATGGTTTCCTTGGAGCTGAGTCACTACTGTGCCATCAGAGTAAACGACATACTGGCTCTTGGGTAGACAGGGCAAGTCTGAATTTGCATGCTGTGTGCTGTAAACAGTGGGTCTGCAAGAGGGGAGCAGCGATTAGCCTGATCTGATCAGGGAGACTTTGTGCTGTACAAACAAGAATATCATCAATTGTTTTTGGATCCTCTGAATGGTAACACTTTTGGAAATTAACAGTGATGTTCTACACCTGTTATTACTTTAAGATTTTCCATTTATATGTTTGGTTATGAATGGTCATACTTTCATAAGAATTTCATACATCTTACAGAATTTCATAAAGAGTGTAATTTTGTAATCAATCTTATTTTCTTTAATGAAAGCATTTTCTATAAAACTTGAGTTCAGTCTTTTATAGTCATTGGCTTCTGCTTTAAGGCCTGTTTTCTTTTTCAGAGTAATATCCTATTTATTTAACATACGTATAGACAATAATGTCTTAAGTGTGATGGCATCCCAGTATATCTTTTTTTTCTAAGGAAAGCTGCGAGAATGAATGAAAAACAATCCACACTGTGTTTAACATTTCCAAACTTTTGAACACTACTGTGAATCATTATGCTATCAACGCTACAGCTGTAGGAAGAGATGGTGTCATTTTGAAGTGCAGATAGTGTCTTCTGTCTGTGGGCATTGACACCAGCTATAGCCAGAGCACACTGCGGAATCACAGCTGGGCTGGGATGGCTGACCTTACATTGTTTCATCTGTTGGTTGTTTAGAAAGTGCTTACAAATATATTGCAAAGCATGTGCTTCTACTTCAGTAGCTTTGGGGTGTAGAGAAGTCAGTGCAGCACTTGCAGTCTTTCAAAAGTGTTGAAAAGAATGATTTATATTTACTTGTAGTTTTGTATAGTGCAGTGAAGCAGAATATCCTCTTTTTTCTTTATTATGTAGTGTTCATTTAATTGTACTAACATTTTTGAGTAACTAAATGAAAATAGATAAGTCATTTCCTCTTTCTACAGTCCTTCCAGGCGCTAGAGTTCATGATCCTGGTATTAACACTGTGTAGACAATGCATTTACGAGATTTATCTCGCAAGATTGTATTAATACATTAGTGAGCTATGGTCTGTTTATATGTGCAATTAGTCATCTCAGCTACTTTAGAATTTCTTAAACATTTCTTTATAGCTGATTTGGATTTTTTGTTGTGCTGTTGACAGTCTATAATGTACAACCTGATAAAAATACCACAATATTTGGCTTTATCAATCCTAAAAATTGATAACATAATTGGGTGCCCAGAGAAAACATACTTAGATTATGGGGGAAAAATAAATTATGGAAAAAGCAATACATATATATATTACACAGGTGTAAATATTTGTGGCAAACATATTAAGGATGTTCTTGAATTATGTCTGCTGTACACTCAAAAGTGTTTTTGTTTAAATTGTCAGCTTTTTAAAAACATCTCCTTTTGATTGTTTATTTTCATTTGGCTTTGTTCCTTGTACATATTACATTACGTTCATTTTCTCCCTAATGTGGCCCAAGTATCGGAGGCACACCCAGTGCATAGCTATGGTGCTGATCTGTTGTGCAAGTGACAGCTGGGAAGCAGGAGAAGCTGTTGTGTGAGAACTCGTGTTGGTGCACGAGTGTCGCTCATCCAAGAGAGTGATCTCTTGACTGCGAAACACAAGTTAGAGAGCCATTAACCTCCATATACATCGAAGCCACTAGGGTGGTCTCAGCTGTGCAGAAAAAGGCATAAGGTGATGCACATTAAAGACAGAAATAACATTGTTTTGTTAACATACATATAGTATGTCTGTAAACATACTATATTTGAATAACATGTTTGCAAGGTTATTTCTTTTTTACTTTTCAAAGTTTCCAACTTCTTTTTATAGCTCCATTTTTTCTATTTTTATTGATAAAGATTTTGTGTCAACTGGCTCTCAGGAAGTTAGGCATATATTATGTGTATCATCTGTTGTTATTATTATGGCAATTAGTTCACTTTCACAAAGTAGGTCACAGTTCACCACTAAACCTGAAAACAATAAAGGCTTATGTTTTGTTGTTTCCTGCACAAGTAGACCAAGTCTAGTATTTGTTCTTTTAACAGATGGAAAGTTAGGGATCAAAATTGTCTGAATTCTTGACAGATTTTCCAGATTAATGTAATTAAACATTATCACTATTAAAACATTCGGTGCTATTCAACCACCTCCTGTCATTTCATAAATACATTTTTTAACCAGATCTTTTTAAAATAAAACTTTCATAATCTTTTCTTTACTTTTGTGGGAAAACAAAAGGGCATTTTTTACAAAAGATTTGTTGTGAAACTTAAAGTATCGAAAACCTGGATTTGAGAATTTCTACAGCAGCCAAAAATGTATAAGTTTACATTCAACAGCAGAATAGAATACTCTGAAATTGTGTTTAATCACTGGAATGTTCTGTTTTAAAAATCAGTGCTTTTCATAGTCTGTTCTTTTCTCTTGTCTAGGTGTGTCTCTCCTTCAGCCTGAGGGCAGGAGTGCTGGAAGGTATCTGTCAACTCATAGACCTTCCTGATTCTCCAATCAGATTTCAGACTCATCCACAGTAAATTCATGCATCACAAGGGCTTTTGTGAAACCCTGCTGACTGCTCTCTAGCCGCTGGAATATATTAATGGGACACCATTGTGGATGGAGGATTATGAAAGTTTCACTGCTACAGAAGGATGTCAGCTGGATAGGCTGCTAAAGACACTTGAGTCTGCTGTATTAGACATTCTTAATTTTTGTGTTTTTGACTAAAATTGATTTTGTGACTTTTATGATATCAAAGGCAAAACATATCTTTGTTGGGGTTTTTTTTAGTTGTTAATTTCAATATAATTCTGAGGAGTTTTTTAAGTACTGGTGACATACCATACAAGGGAATCCTACTATTGAACATGACTCATGGGGAAGAGCCTGGCTCTGAGATGCACCAGGATTCTGCTGTTTTAACTTATCTGGAAGGTTTACTAATGCATCAGGTGTCAGGCAGACAAAGTGCCGCAGCAACAAGACGATCTGATGCTGGGCACAGTGAGAGGAATCAGAATAACAAGACAGTTGGAAGCCACCAGCTGCCGAACCACAGTTCCAATCAGGAGGATAGGAGTGTTCCTCTTGGAAGGGCTACACAGCACCTTAAAAAGGCCAGACTGCTGCGTTCCTCTGAAGCTTGGAATGGGCCTGAGACCCAGCAACTGCCTGCTTCTGTGGTGAATTTAAATGGGCAGAACAGGGATCTGCTAACAGGAGCTCTGGACAGTTCTCCCAAATGCAAAGCAGAGAGCACTCTGCTGGCATCCCTGCTCCAGTCATTCAGCTCCAGACTACAAAGTGTGGCACTGTCACAGCAGATAATGCAAAACCTAAAGCAGCAAGATAACCTTCAGAGTGATAAGAGCACTCAGGTGGAAGATGAAGCCCTGAGATGTTATGGAAGTGCATCCAGTCGCTTGAAGGGCCTGCTGAAAAAGAACAAAATGCAAAACCACAATAGTGTGCCTTACCAACGGAGAAACAGCCAAGAGAGGTTTTCTGATTCACCTGAAGCGTCACAGAGCAGCGTTCAGCCTGCTGCTAGGGACTCCATATCCTGTGCAGCACGTTTGAAAGCCGTGGCCAGCATCGTGAAGAACCGGTCAAGCCCTACGTCTTCCCCAAAACCCAGTGTTGCCTGTAGTCAGCTGGCCTTGCTGCTTTCCAGTGAAGCGCATCTACAGCAGTATTCCCGGGAGCAGGCCTTAAAAGCACAACTATCTGGCCGGTCGGCCAGTGAGAGACTCGCAGCAATGGCCACACAACAAACACAGGATATAAAGCAGTCTAGCATGGGACAGCATCAGGTGTCCGCGGATATAGTCAACCCATTAAATGGACAAAATGGAACACTGCCACAAACGGTAGATTCCAGTAAACCTAGTCCATCACCCATTCAGGGGCAGAGCAGAGTAAACAGTTCCCAACGGTCTCTGCATTCTTTTAGGGACAAACACTCCTTTGACAGACACAGCTCAAGGCCCTCTCCAAACTGCAGCAGCTTGCTTTTGCACCTTTTAAATAACCACAATACACAGAAATATACCAATGGCAACAGCCTCATGGAGGAAGATTACAGTGTTTTTCCAAACCACAGTTCTCCGCTGCGGTCGGAAAGTGAATATTCCAACCTTGAGAACAGCCTCACAAAAGACAACAGTGATGCTGAGAGCTCACACTCAAGCTGTTCTCCAATAGACCTGTCCGTGAAGGGCAGGGCCAGTGGCTCAGGGTTAGGTTCTTCTTCGTCTTTAGATAAATTAACAGAGACCCTAATAAGTAACTGGAACCCTGAGACTTCTAGTCATAAAGTCACAGAGGCCAGAGAAAGTGAAAATAGCTCAGTTATAAAACCTCATCATAAGGTCACACTTCTGCAACTACTCTTGGGTCACAAAAATAATGAAAAGGTAAATAAAAATTCAGATAACCCAGATTTACAGAGTTGCACCACCTCTAAACCTAATTGTCTGCCTACTGGCAGAGTAACGCCAAGCAGTAGGTTTGAAGAAACAAGGACAAGAAACTCTCCAGATGCACTGTGTTTCAGAAAACTGCAGTCCTTGCCTGTATTTTCACAAGAACAAGACACAAATGGCAGTGCATCTCCCTACAGTTTGAGCCTGTCTCCTCAGGTGCAAGCCATCCCTTTGGATCTGTGTAAGGCTAAATCCCACTCCAATGAAAACGTGGAAGAATCCTCCTTTAGTGCTAGTAAGTTACTACAAAACTTAGCTCAATGTGGGTTACAGAAGTCCATTCCATCACCACCTGTAGAGACTTCTGTGTCTCCTGGAATAAGGCAGACATATGAACCCAGAACAGACAAGCCAGTGGCTTTGCTTGAGAGACTGAATGCCCCACTCACAAAGAACAAAACTACAGTTTTAGAGGAGCCACTGGTGAATAGTATGAAGCTTCCTTACGTGATGGATCCTTCACCTTCTGTTTCTGAGATTGAGAACCTACTCGAGAGGCGCACAGTCTTGCAGCTCCTTTTGGGAGCCACCACCAGCAAAGAAAAGGCAAGTGGCAAGAGGAAGAGACCAGTGGACAAAGGAGACAGTTTAGATAAGCATTCTGACCCATCCCCAGGCAGTGGAAACTCATACGAGCCAACGTTGGACATTAAAATAAAGACTGAGCCACGAGATGAGGTCCATCTATCTAATACCAATGGTGAAGAAAAAAGAAGTCAGGTAGAGGAGAGATTGAATGGGGGAAACAACCCTCACTCATCTAACCAGAAAGACATTAAATCAGAGGTTTTATCTGCAGAAGCTATTCCGAAAGATGGCCTTCTCAGCCAGCTTTTGAAACACCCACCCAGCACCTATCAAGTGAAAAACCAGGATGTTTGCACTATCAGTGGTAAAGAAGGGCTGTCATTAAATCAGGGGCCAGCTATCCCTAAAAAGAGGAAACTCTGCATGGGAATGGATGAGACCTTGAACACTGAGCCTTGTATAAGAGCAGTCAGTGCTGTTCAGAGGGATGGAAGCAGTGAGCCTTCTGGGTCTAGGACTTCTGATGGACGAAATGTCCACAATGAAGTGAATCGCCTGGAAGCAGATAGTCTGCTACAAGTTGGATGCCCTGTGAGTGAGTCTCTGCCAAAAGATGGGAAAGGCTTCAATGTGCTGAAGCAGCTTCTCCTGTCTGACAACTGTCTAAAAGATATATCTCTGCCAAGAAGTGCCACCAGCCCTTCCATTATTCAGGCTAACTGCAAGATCAATGGGAACATCCCAAGCAAGTCTGGCTACAATCATGACTTTGCCGTTTTGCAGCATAATTCTAGTCCCCAGGGTCCAGTTTCTCTGGACTTTAAACCGCTGAGTGCTGCTTCTGAAAGGAGCAAGCCACCAGGTTCTCCCTGGGGTTACCATGCAGCTCGACAGGATTCTCCAAAACTGAACCTCATCCCTGTGAAAAGAGAGCTGGAAGGCCCTATTCAGTGGGTTATCAGTGGGGAGGAGAAGCAGGACCCAAGCATCGATTCCCCAAGGCTGACTAAGTCTAACCCAATTTTGTACTACATGCTGCAGAAGGGCAACTCCCACATTGGCAAGTTGAGAAAGGCAGAGGCTCCAGAGTGTGAAATGCAGGTTAAGGTTAAAGAGGAGCCTATGTCTGAACTGGATGCTTACAGCCACCGGCTGCGCCTGAAGCATCATCACCAGCTCAGCAATGAGAAGCAAGGAAATGAAACTGAGAGTTTTAATAGGACAGTAGAAAAGTGCTAGTTGTTGGTAAGAAGAAAGGAAAATAGTCCTTCATTTTGACATGTAATGCTCTTTTTCTTTTGTCTGTTGTTTTGTATCACACTGGTTTGCCTTGATTATTTAATCACTTTTTGAGGAAAAATACAGTGCAAAAGACAACAGAGATGTTAAAGATGTTAAACTAATGAAGCACTGAAAATTAGTGAAAAAACTGAAAAGTTTTTTACATGTACCTTTAAGGTAGATTTTCATACTTGTCCAGGCTAACTAACATGATGAAGGAAATTGTTCTAACACTTCTGTCAAATGTTAGAATGCCTATTACTCAAGTGGAAATAGAAAGAAATATAACTTTCTATTAAATTTGGCCAAGTTTGTAGGACGATTCATGTTAGAATTCAGTGGCGTGGAAATTTATTTTTAAGTTCCTAGACACTGTCGTGCCATTTATCTTTAGTCTGGATTCATTCATATTTAATGTAGGGATAATATTCTGTTGCATATATTTTTTAACGGGTTTTAATGAGAAGTTCTCATTATTTGTTCTTCCCATAACAATAATACGACCAGGATCATACTGAACCATGCTTAATATTGTTAATCGCTGCCTGCAAATGTCCGTGTTTGTACGGTGTCCTGTAAAGACACTTTCAGCTTGCAGAAGAGCTTCCCTCAAGAATTCCCATCACTTCCCTGTGTTGCTTCAGGAGATTGATTTGTTAGTGATTTTCGATATTTTATTTTCTAAAGCATCTTTAATACAGAACATCAGTAGATATTGTCGAAAGAGAAAGTGATGACCTGAAAATTGCTCTTTATCTTATGAGTCAGATTTGGATCTGCATTAAAAACAGTTTAAGGAGACTAATTTTTGAAAATCAATCTTACAATCAAGTATGTTGCTGACAATGTCTTATAAACAATGAGATAGACCTTGTCTAAAGCTGCTGCCATGCAAGAGTATGAATAATTTTTACATCTTACATTTGCCTGAGGTTGATCGATATGTGTTGTGGTTTATCAGACTAAAGCCCCACTGTAGACATTGTATAGTGCACGCTGCAAGAGACACGTTGATTCAAATGCTCTTATTAGAATTTCATGTATGCATCTGGATGTTTTACTATAAAAGTTAAAATTGTTAGAATGCAGGAAAGGGAGTGGGAATTTGTAATCACTGAAATAACAATATTGCTGAAGTATCTTTCACCAAGAAGCCCACAGCTGGCCTGATTGTACCTAGATGCTTTTCTCTGGTACTGTTACAAATCAGGGCCCTCATGGGTGAGCGAACATCCATCATGGAGCCTTCTTTTCTGAGCGAGTGATGGGTGGAACCATATAGCCAGGCAGAGTGTCTTGAGCTAGGAAAAGAGGAAGACACCTTGGAAATGTATCACTTAGGGATTTTATTTTTTGTTTGGAATTAACCCATCTGTATTGACGGGTGTTATTTAGACTTAGCATGTGAATGTTAGAATGTTCAATATTTTTATTATTTTTATTTTAGGCATTTATTCCGTTTATTCTGAGAATGTGTGTGGTGTTTCTACTGACCCCCTAGTGTGATAACTGTGCCAGGTAAAAAAAAAAAAGGCAGAACTGAATTTAGAAAGCCACTGTGGCTTATGATGTGGCTGTATGTTTAATTTCTAAAATGAAAGTAGAAAACTTGAGCAAGTTAAAACAGCTCACAAATGAGGGGAGGCTTTTCGGCCCAACTAGCTCATTAGATTGCTAGTAGCTGATTGATCCGAGATTCTCATCCATCCATCCCTCAATGAAGACAGGGTATCAGCTTTGACAACCTGGCTGGGTAGCTTGTTCCAAACCCCTGCCACCCTTTGTGTAAAAAGTGCCTCATGTTCTCATTTTAAATGAACTTCCCTTTTAGTTTCCAACTGTGTCCTCTGGTTCGTGTTTCATTGTTGATTATGAAGAAGTCCATTGGGCTGAGTTTCACAATTTGTTTTGAGCCTTTTAGATACTTGAGTCAGATCCCATCGTATTCTTCTCTATTCTTTTAGGCTTGGGGAAGGACACTCCGTTAAGCCTGAAAGTGTATCTGAACACTCATCTTAGAAATGATTCCAGAGCAGCAATATATTTTTTTGTAATTTGGCAACCAAACTTATACACAGTATTCAGTGAGATCTTACTAGTGCATTTTATTATTTAAACATCTCTTGATTTAAATTTGACACCTTTGACCTTATATCCCACTATACTTTTTGCTTTCTTTATTGCTTCCCACATTATTTAGTAGATGAAGGCTACAAAATGTGGATATGAACATGCAAGTCTTTTTAATCCATAGGTTCTTCAAGCTCAGTGTTTCCCAACTTGTATTTATAGTTCTGAATTGAACCTCTTGCATTTCCATAGTGTTTTCTCCAGTGTTTGGTAATTCTCCTGTTTACCTAGTTTACTATACATATTTCAACAAATAGCACCACTGGTCCTTACACTCAAACTTGTGGTATTCCACTCTTTATATCACCCTAAGAAGCATTCAGAGCTTATTTGCACCTTCTGTTTGGTGTCCATTAACCAATTCTTAATCGAAATACAAGCATTACCTTGAATACCTGACACTTGCAATTTGGGAATTAACCTTGTATGAGAGACTTTATCAAAAGCCTTTTTAAAATTTAAATAAATCATATCACATGCCATTTTATATCCATTTCTGTTGATGCTTGATCAGATCATTCTATAGCTAAGTAAGAAAGACTTAACATTGTTTCCATAGCTTTACATTTCATTGAAATATGACCTTTCTGGAATTTACATGAATTGGTTTTGCCACCTTCTGCATGCTTGCCACAAAAGGTCTTTTCCACTCAATGGGTATTAGTCCTGTCTGAAGTCTCTTCCTTGGCGTTACTATGTAACACAGAATAAGGTCTCCTAGAGCAGTGTTGATTTCTTCCTTGGTTAACGCCTAAGAGACATTTCCCTTTCATTATCTGAAAGTTTCCCATTTCCCAAGTGAAATTGTTGATTACCCATATATTGTTTAACTGTAGTTATCGTAAGATAATGTAATAACCAAACCAATCCTGGAAATCTTAAATATTTTTAGTTCTTATGTTCTCATTTTGTCTGTGAGAAAAATGCCCCATTTACATCTAATATGGTGTAACCTATGTGATACTTTAATAAAACCCATTGACTCTGCCCTTGGTGTTTTAGAGAGCATGTCTGCCACTGTTAACAATGGTGTAATGGATAATAAAACCTTTCAGAGGTGTCACAATATAAACCTCAGACCCACATTAGCATCGCATGGAAGTGATGAATGACACAAAGACTCAAACATATCTTTCTGACAATCCCAGTCATAGAGGCAGAACAGCTGAGTATTCCTGATCATTCTTGAGATGGGATTATTTATTGAATTTATTATTTTTAACCCTGAATAGTGCAGAAAGATAATCTGAAATGGTAACACTTTGTTAATGACAAACTTTTCAAGTCTTAAGTATGACTTTTTTTGTTTTCTTTGAATGTCGGTCATTCATATGCAGTCTCTTTACGTTCTACTAGGTATGAAGAGTGATTTTGTAAAATCAATTATATTTGTGTAAATAGTACTTTCATTATGAAAGATAACTATTTTGTATTGTTTAAGAGAAAGATAATGTACTAGTTTTCAACTCCCTGAGGTGATGTAAATTGTGTAATATTGTATATAATATGACAGAAGGTGAACTGTTTCTTTTGCATGTGTCTCTGTTGTATGCTTATGATTATCTTTGTTCTGCAACATGTTATGTTCTGTCAGATGCTGTACACCGCTGCCTGTTGCATGCAGACGCATGGGGGAAAACCTGTGCATCACTCCTGGCTGTGGGGAAACTGAAGTCTTAATCTAGGTCTTTTATCAAGGAGTGCTCATGACTTTAAATGTGATCAAAGACAGTATGTAAAATTATACACGTTAACAAATATTTAAACTTTGAAAACTAATGTGCGTTAAATATTTCCATTTATTGCTTTGTTTTTTACTGGCATCAAACAGGAGTGGTTTACCAGTTACAGTGTGTGCTTTGCCAGAGGAGCAGGGAGCAGGATAACTCACTGTACAATATCAATGTTAAGATTAAAAAAGACATTTGTGTCATGATGTTGAACCTTCATTCCACGTGATGAGCTGAAAATGTTGTCTTTTTTTCCTTTTTTGGGGGGTGTTAACTTCTTGCACAGATTTTAAATAAAGTACTAAAATGCACAGTTTGAATAAATATGTGTGTTATTGCCTTTGTTAAAATTTATTTTGGATGTGGACTGACACAATCAAGCTGCCTCTGTTCTTTTCATGTGGCAGTAAATTACTGTATGCTATGCAGATAGAAGGAAAAGAGTGACTACTTTTTTTGTGATAGGAAACTTTCCTTATTTCTTCTAATGAATTTCTGGAATTAAAAAATTACCAGTCTCAGATCAGCTCCATGATCAATCATTAAGGTTACATTTACATTTTAGGTTTATTTCATGTAATAAGTTGATTACAAACTAACTTTAGGAACAATTCTTAAAATTCACATGGTTACACCTTCATTTATGAACAGATGTCTCATGCCCTTGTTTTAAGAATATTCTACAGAAGACTATAAAATTTAACCCAGACTAAATACTGAAATTCAGCTGGCCTACATTTCAAATTAAGCCTGAAGTTGTGACCTTAATTCCTGCTGGTTTCTTTGACTAAACACAAACACATGAGCACATGCAAAGTTTAAAAAGGCAGTTCTGTTCATTGGCTGGGTCAGCACTGAAGCAGGTCACCAGGCTCCATAATCGACCCAAATCACACACAGCAGAATGTGTCAATAAAATGTCAAGCACTCCTTGGGGCTTCTGTCTTAGTCCGATAGTAATAAAGCAGCGAATGATTGATTCAGAAAACTACACTTTCAAACTGTGATGAACTTCTGTTCAAAGTGATGAGGAATGTAGGGGTTTGTGGGCTCTAGTCTTCTTATTGAAAGAAGTATGAAGAAAAAAACAGCAACAGCACCCTGTCCTAGAATGACAAATCCTACAGGAAGATATCAAAAGATGTACACACAACTCACAACCTGTTCAACTTACACAAGAACGTGTGTGTGTCCTGTTAATTTTGGCCACATCACACAAAACAACAGCAATGCATGGACAAGGCAGAGCAAAAAATCTCATAGGATCTTCGAAACATGGAGTTTTGAGTTGTACAACCTAAATAATGCAGGGTTCAGGAATATTCTTTATTGATTTCTGCCATACACATGTTTGTGAACATGATAACTAAAGGCCTCTTTAAGTCATTTAAATCAGGATGAGGCTAATGGAATGTGTGCCAAAATTATTTTCACACACACCTCATTTGCTCTGTGCCAAATATATACGATAGTTCTGTATGTTGTGCAGACAGTAACTCACAATGCTCATGTTTCACAAAGGTGTGTCTTATTCAATTATTCTTCTTGAAAACAAGAAGTGTTGAGTCGATCCTCGTGTGATGAGAACAGCTTCACTGTTGTGTGCTTGTTGGTCTCTGTGAAGAGGAGCTGATTAGAGCAGATCTGCACAGGATAAGTAACTGTGAGTATGATGTCTTTGACATTTTAGCAGCTGAAGCCCCAGAAGTAGGTCATGGTTTGTTCTGTGTGTGCTTGTGCTCGTGCATCTGTCTGTGTCACAGTCGAGGTTTTATTCCAAGGTCAGGATTTATAAGTAAAAATAGGCTGGGGGCACATTTAGGGAGGGGGTGTCCAGGTCTGCGTCAGCATTGCTAAGCTTTTGATACCAAGTTATTCCAGAAAACTGTATGTCCACTTCATGCAAACTCTAAACAGTTTCTAGTAGCAACAAGGGCCATGTGCACAGGGATAGTTTCACAGATCTGCATATCTAAAGCCATATTGGCTAGTTAAGAAAGATACAAATAGTCCAAAAAATTCTTATACAGCTCTTCTCTGCAGAAAATCAATATCCTTACTTGTCTCAATTGCAATGTCTCTTAGCCTCTGAGTTCCAAGTTTAAGGAAACTTTGATGTTGTATCTGTATTACTATAGAGTAGAGTAGAGTTTATTGTCATATGCATGTGCAATGAAATGCTTAAAAACTTATTTTTTGCAATGTTTTTGTCAACATAGTTTGTTTAAACTTACAGTATAACCAAGTACATTTTAATCAGCTTACAGCACAGATAATTTTTTTTTGACAGTGTGAGAGACTAGCATTCCCAGTTCAAACCACAGTGCACACAAGCGGCAGCCTTTGGCCAAGTATGGGGCAGGAGAGTTCCAAGGACACTTGTAGCACTATTGTGTGTTGAAAGCAGAAACATCTGAAAGCTGCTAAAACATTTTTACTTAAACTTCAAACAGCCTTTTCAATATTATCATTTGCATACATACTCATATGGAAAATAGAAGGTTGAGAACATAAGAATTTAAACCTATCTAGCTCATTTGGTTGCTAACAGCTAATTAATTTGTGGATCTTATCGACCCTTTGTTTTAAAAGAAGCCTGCATATCTGTTTCAACATCTTGTCTGGGTAACCTTTTACCAGACCCCCATAGCACTTTGAATAACCCTGTTCCTAACTAGTGTATAATACTTGCTTTTTGGTTATGAACTATATTTCCATCAAAGTATATTCAACCCTAACCCTGACCTTACAGGGCTTATGGGAAACTATGGGAAAACCATTCAGCACATCTAGTCCATTCCTTTATTAGCTAATTGACCAATGAAACTCATCCAGCTGTTTCTTAAAGCAGGCGATGATAACGGCTTTGACAACAGGGCTGTGTAGATTGTT